TGCCAAAGCTCTTGAGGTTATTCCTCGGCAATCATGTGACAATATTGGATGATGCAACCGATGTACTGAACAAACTAGCAGCAACACGCATTGATCCCCTGTGCGAACCTGTTGAGAAAGCGATGAGTTTCTTATGAAATCGAGTCCTGAACGAAGGCTTCCCACTGTATATTGCCACCTGAAAAAACCAGTTTCGAAATCAACATAACATTTTGAGCGTGGACGTGAACCTTTGAGCTTTTGGAAATTATTAGCTCATCATTGTCAAGCTATTATGGTTACTATCTGTTAGACACCTCGCCCTGCTGTTCCCTCTGGTTAGTACCTGCTTGTGGTGAGAAAACGAATAAACACATCAATGTTCAAGGAGAATAAGAGATGGAAGGCCAACAACAAGACTCATCACTACCAGCATTTTCACGTAAGAACATCAAGGGTGATCGAAGCGTATCAGATGCCAGGAGATTGAATTGGTATTACTTTGGGCTTCTAATCCACCTTTTTGGCCCAAACTCACCGCTATCTGCACCTGCCAGATCATAAACCCTGAGTTAGTAATCCCCGAGGGAATATACCTAAAAGATCCATCTAAGACAGCTAGCAAATCTTCAAATTGATGAACCTAGACAATCAAATTTTTAAACGAGATTAACAAATCATATAGGAGAAGATTTTCTCATCAACAGACATTAACACAATCTCACCGAAAAAGGAATGTTTTCAAATCAAACCATAGCCAAATTGGAAACAATCAATCAGCATTTACTCGTGATCAATGAAATTCAATCAAGAAATCAGAAGGCGAAGCTTATATAAAGAGGTTCGGAGATTGCAAAAAGGGGACGAGATCTCAGAGTCACAATCACAAACAATCACAGAAATTCCAAAATCCCAAATTCAGCAGAAATCCCCCAAACCGAAACCCTATAAATTAACGAGGAAAAGAGGACTTATCAAGCTCGAAAATTGTCGCCGCCGAAGTGTTCGTCGCCGGGAATCTACATCGGAGAAACCCATTCGCATCTCCACCTTCAAAGCGCCGTCAACCTTCGGAGAACTTCCTTGCCAAGTCGACGCCTCTGAATCGCCGCTCATTACCGCACGCGTCCCCGCCGTCATCAACCCTTGGGTAAAGCTCCACGTTTCGTAATAGCCTCTGAACCTATTGATTGCTTTCTTCTGTGTTTCAGGTTTTACAGGAATTGAAGGCATAATGGATTGAGGCGAGGAAAGAGAGACGGTTGGAAACGAGAGTGAGAATGTCCGATTTGGGGGGGGGGAACCTAGTGTTTCCATCTTTTTCGTTTCTGGTTTCTACGTTTTTTTCTTTGTTTGTTATCTGCTGTAATCACTCATTAACCTCACACATACACTCCACTAATCACACACACAAACCCACTAATCCATCCATTAACCCTAATTAACCACCTTAAACTTTTGATCTGCGGATTAATTAATTTAATTTAGTAACCTAAAATAATTAATTAAACTTAATAACTAATCATTATCATTTATTAAGATAACTAGTAAAACCCTTTTATTAGCTTTTATAATTAATTATTAAACAACTTTTTTTGTTTAATTCATATTCATTCACCATTTAATTAATTTCCCTTTTATAAAATAGTCATATTATTCTAAACAACTTTTATAGAAAAATCAAAAAAACCTTTATTCATTAAAATCCTTTTATGATATAACTTTATTTATCTCATAAGATCTCCTAAAAAAAAAATAATAAAAACCTTTTTTTATCTAATAAAAAAATAACTGTCCATAATCATAACCAAAAAATCACCTATATTTGACCCAACTTTTACCTATTAAATAAACTTACTTAATTCAACTTTTTTTCTTAAAAATTCATATCACTATGGCAAAAATTAAGTAATTTTTCTTAAATTAATTTATTACCTAAAACTTTTTTTACTACAATGAATCAAACTAAGTCGTCCTTTAATGTAATTTCTCTTAAAAGTTAATCTTTTTAAAGATCAATTCAGTCATTTCACTAAAAACTAATCAACCCCGCTTAAAATTAATCAACAGCGTAAAACACAATTTGGTCAATCACGCACTCACGACACTCGCACCTACACCTCAGCGCTTTCATGCGTGTGTATGATTTATATTTCTGCAAGTTATTTTATTGCATTTACATTATCGCAATTTATTTTCCGCATTGCATTTCGTCCAAAGGAAAAACCTACACATAATTCAACGCTGTGTGTAGTTGCACATCATTTGCATCATATCCCACTTGATCCTTGATCCCATTCAAGTTGATCATTTAAGATTAGGACCTACCCCATAGGAAGGACCTTGTCTTTATCTTTACAACATAGAAACAACACAGTCAAAACAATACAACTTTTCAAACACAATAGAGAATAGATATTAATCATCTTAAGTGAGATATAATCTCTACCCCCACAACAATACAATCAAACATGTAGGGACTTTGCCTTAAGAGCGATAAAGGCATACTTGGCGACCATCCGAGTATGTAAGACCTTTTCTTAAGACGACGCAAAGACCATTTCCTACAACCCCTTTACACTTGTGGTGGTTATCTCTCCCTTAAAATGAAGACTCATATCTTCTCCTAAACCCAATCAAAACAAATACCCTAAACCCGTAGGAAGTTTGACCACAGTCAAAGAACTCCTCTAACCCTTTAGGGTGAACTACAACATACTCTGATTCCACTCCCGTAAGGATATGTAGGCATAAGATGCGACATCTTATCGAGTATACTTAGAAATAAACCACTAGGGTCTCTAATCCATTAAGCAGGTAAACATTTAGCAATAAACAACAATAAAACAAGAGGTTCCTGTAGAGTACTACAGAAACTTAGGATGCTAGTACCTTCCCTAAGTTTAACCAACCCCCGAACCTAAAACAATCTAAACCTTGCATTTGCATTGCATTGTGAGAATTTGGATCTTTATCCCTTCCTTTGGACAAATCAAAGTTCGGTTGCAAAAATGAATTAACGATTCAAACTAATCAATAGTTTGGTATCCAAATTTCACCGCGACAACGAGCATGCCCTCAATGAGAATATCTGTGTATTTGTTGTTGTTTCCCCTTTTAGTAGTTTATAACAAATTTCTTGAAACACAATTATGGAAATTTACACTTCAGAAGAAGAGAAATATGTTGCTGGTAGGACTTTCCGAGATGCTGCTGATAGTCCAAAGTATGTACTTTGGAGAAGAAATCACTAATGTGAACGTTACTAAGTAAAACGTTCTTGTAAGTTAGTTGTAAATAGAGTATCCATTGTTGTCCTTGTCCTTGTAATTGTGCAGCAACTACCACAACACGTAATAAAGACCAGGTGTTTAGCTGTAGTAAGTCATATAGAGATGTAAGTAAAGGTTTCTTCAAATTAGCTATGCTAAATGAAAGTTATCAGCTCTTCAATGGCCTCAATGTTGAACATACAAGTTGGGAGTTTGGTCATACATTCAGTTCATATTGGAAACCACGACATAGAAGAAAAAATGAGAAATAAGGGTAACTTACCAAGGTTGGTAACACAAGATGAATGCAATGGTGTTTTGACCAAGAATCATGGTAATATGTAAAACCACACTACCTGGAAGAAATAACATTTGAAGGGAAGTTGGGACTTGTTTTGTTTAAAAAGTTGTTGTGTTGTGAAGACCAAATTGAAACTGTAAATGGAAAAACAAATATCCACAATGGAAAAAATAATGACGTGTCTCTCAAATAACATACCAATACAAATTATGTGAAAGCTATTTTAGCATGTAGTTGTTTAGTAGATGTCTCTTTTAAAAATATTATATTGAAAACATGAATAATACACAAAAGGGAACACATTGGTTGGAGTTGACATATTTTAATAAAGTTTGAAGTAGTGCAATGATGATAAAGGATATTGATAGGTTTTTTTAAAGATTTTACCAAGTAAAGACATAAGGCAGGTTTTACTCAAGTATAACCTTTTAGTAGTATTAGTTAAAAAATATTTTGTAGTTCTCCAAGGGGATTTCCAATTTGATGTAAAAGTGTATATCATCCATCACATAGTAGGCTAAATGTTTTGGTGGTCTTGTTTAAAGCATTGTTTTGGTAGTATTAGTTATGATTTTATTCAATGCTAAATGTTGTGGTAGTCTTGTTTAAAGTATTGTTTTTTCTCCAAGGGATAGCCAGTATAGGAAGAATTATATAAACTTGTTGAGATGATATTGAACAGGAATTTGCAAATTATGACTTCACAATGCTATTATAACATTCAGGTTTTATAACATAAACCAACAAATACAAAATCAATTTGGAATTACCTTACTTAATGTGATGATATCCTGTAATAGTAGGTGGATAGCTTTGGCCATAAACTTCTCGATCGGGGATAGCTTAGAATCGAAAGATTGTTATGACCAAGAACGGTGTTGGGTGCCAAATGATGAAGATCTTCCCATTTTGAAGTCCACAAGTAACCTGTACTTGGTACAAAGTCATAACATATCATAAATCATTTATTCGTCCCTAAACTTTAAAAATTAAAGAAATGTTGAAATTAACATGGTGTGACTTTTTCAAAAAATCTTTGAAGTCTGGCATATCCTCATTGATATGAATTTTGGTGATGTTGTAGGTGTTTGTAACGGACAATAGATATTTGCCTACAAAATACATATAATAAAGTGATCACCATTTAACAAAATAATGGATGTTAACATCATTAAGTCAACCACTCAGAATTTTTCCCATGTCTTTGCTAACCTTCTACCTTAACCTTTGCATACTTCATGAGAATAACAGTTGATGTTGAGACATCAAGTTGATTTTTTTTTTGTAGTCAAAGAACTCCATAGCATATAATTTAAGGTGTTGTTGCTATTGTACCAAAATGAAAATAGATAGAATACAATGCAACCAACTACAACACATGATGTATAAATTTATTAGATAAGACGCGGTTAACCGACATACCATAAATCTCTTAGTATCAAGTTGACTTAAGGTTTCTTGCCCCCAAATTGGGACTGAGGGTATCCAATTTCATCGACCACACCTATAACATCTACAAAAAAGAAGCAACAATGTTTATTTAACAAATATCCAAAGTAAGAAGACAACATGAATTAAAATTGTTATAAAATGTACCTATTAGGAGATTTTTCGGCCATTTTCCCGAGATGATGTCCATAAATGGGGTAAGGTTAATCACTTTATCGGGGATGTCATATTTACCAATATCTCCAATTCTTTTCCCACCAGTGAACTTCAAAAGATATTTGTGGGATGTGGGTTTGAAAAACAAATCATTTGGTTGTACTTGGAAGTTCAACATCGTCCAAGTCACATTGACAGATAAAGACGAATCAAATGTTTGGCTAAATATTTTTAGAACAACAACATGAATACCATGGCCCTGAGATGTGTAAAACAATGTTCAACAGTTAAACACAAACCTACTAAAGTATTACACATATTAAATCCTTTAAAAAACAAAAAAGGGAACCATCAGAAAAACCAAACCAAACAATTTCACTCAAAACACACATAACACCTTACTCGGTTACAAAAGAAGACTATATCCAATAGAGCTTCACAAACATGGTTGTAACATTAGTAAGTATTTAGCTGAAGTACAAAAAATATCCAAACATAAATTATCCAAATAAACGTTCTCCAAAACATTTTGTAAAACATGAGCATCAGAAAAACCAAACCAAACCATTCAAACAATTTCACTTAAAACACACAAAACACTTTAATGTGTTACCTTAGAAGATTATATCCAACAAAGCTTCACAAACATGGATGTAACATCATTAAGTATTTAGTTGAAGTAAAACAAATCTCGAAATAGAAATTATCTAAATAAATGTTCTCCAAAACATATTGTAAAACATAAGCAGTACTTAGCTGAAGTAAAAAATGGAAACTCACTTGTTTGTCAACAACAACCATCTCAAAATGCTCATTTGTTATGGTGGTAAGCTTCCATTTGTGATGTATTTTGACAACAAGCTTCCATAAATCCTTGCAATCGGTGATGTCATTTATCGTTTCAAAGGGTCTCGCCATTTCGTGAATGTTGAGGAACAATAGGAGATGAAATCGGTGAGAGGGGCGACGAAACAAACCAAGGTAGAAGAAGAAGAGTGGTACAGAAGAGAGATAAATGAGTAAGAGTGTGATTAGGGTGTAGTGTTAATGAGTATACATGTTTATAACTTGGTTTCCAATACAGGCGCATAACACTTCTGCAAGGCTTCAAACTATTTCAATTGATAGTTTCAAAATTTGGTTCAGTCAGAAGTATGTTTAAGGTTATAGTTAGCGAAAAGTGATAAGGAAAAATGAAAAAACATGTGAAACCAAATAGTGTGGTTCAATAGTTACTTTTTGGGTGCATAAAGACTCAATTTGACCATAAAATGGTGACGTGGCAGAAGAAGGGAAAGGGCTAAAAAAGTGATTTCATAGAATATATTTTTTCTTATATGGTAGATATAAGAATCAATAAATTATAAGTTGCAAGTAAAGAGTTATCTTCAAATTACTACAATAGAGTCCAAAAAGAATTATATTTCAACCTGAACTTGAAATCAGTTTTTAAACTTTATATTTTACCTATTTAAGTCATTCTATAGTCTATTTCATGAAAAAATGTTTCCATTTTCAAATGGTTTTGATTTCACCCTTAAATGACCTCCATAACATGACTAATGAGTAAAATAATAACAAAGTATCCCAATTTCGGGTTACGGACTTTTACCTATTTTTTCTCTAACAATTAACAATTTAGCAAGAGTTTTTCCCTTTAAATCCAACTAATTAATATTTTAGGAAAAATGTTCATATTAATCATAAATTAACCATGAAAGAACATCCACGTATCTATTTGTTTCTTTATACTCACCTGTCTTTCATAATCATAACATAACTTTGTCTTTTGTCAGAACCAGACCCAAAATCAAAACCAGACCTCTTGATAACTATCCCAAAACATAACTTAACAACTCCCACGCGAACCCATTCAAAAACGTGATCATGTAATATAAACATATACTTAGTAATAAAATATGTCCCAACATCATCTTGAGCAACATCTAGTTTAGGAACACTGTGTTCACCAATCTCATGTACATTAGTATTTGGACCAACAACATTTGTTTCCTTAGAGATTGATTTGACAATATCATGGTATACCATATCTAATTGTTGCACATAAAATAAACAAAATCAAATAGACATTCACACCTGAAAAATCTCCCGACATAATTTCAGAAGGGCATGGAAGCTTTCTTCTGGACAATATCAATATTACCAAAACAAAAATACCATAATATGAATTAAATGAAAGGGATATATATATATATATATATATATATATATATATATATATATATATATATATATATATATATATATATATATATATATATATATATATATATATATATATATATATATATATATATATATATATATATATATATATATATATATATATATATATATATATATATATATATATATATATATATATATATATATATATATATATATAAATACATTACTTTAATTTAGGTTAGTTTTGAGATTCGAGAAGCATACTAATTTTGTGACCAAATTCCATAATTGAATTAAATTTTTTTTTTTTTGTGATGGTTTAAAAAAATACGAGATAGCGGATTGAATGATGTTTGTAAATATGATAATATGTATATACTCCTACACTTTTTGAAATAAACACTATGCCAAAAAAGACCTTTAGCAGCGCTTTTTTTGGCCTTTAGCCGCGCTTAAAAGCGCTGCTAAAGGTAAAGGCAGCGCTTTTTTTAAGGAAAAAGCGCTGCTATAGGCTCCATTTACCAGCACTTTTAGCAGCGCTTTTTGCACCCTATAGCAGCGCTTTTTAAGCGCTGCCTATTCCTCTTTCCCCTCCCCCCCCCCCCCCCCCCCCTTTAGCAGCGCTTTCTTAGACCCTCCCCTTTAGGAGCGCTTTTTTGAAGCACTGTCTTAGGCCCCCCTTTAGAAGCGCTTTTTTAAAGCGCTTTCTTAGACCCCCCCCCCCCTTTTTTCCAACCTATAGCAGCGTTTTTTTAGGCCTCTCTTTGCCCCTTTAGCAACGCTTTTTTAAAAAGCGCTGTCTATTCTTCACGATTTTGAATTATGTTTTTTTAAATAATTACATTTTTTATATATTTTTCGATAAACCTGCTTATAACAATTACATTCCTTGCTTATAATCCAGGCCTTTAATTCAACAGTTTGTCCGTATATATAACAATTACTTTGGCCCATAACCATTTTAATAAACGTAAACCAGCTTAAATATATTACAACATCACAAATACATTCAATTTACATATAATTACAAATTCGATAACTTTACAAATAGATACATTATACAATTCTCAACTCAAGAATAAATTGACACCAGTCCTCCTTAATTTCTTCCAATCTTGCTTTCGAGTAAGTATCGCACTTGTATTCATCAAAGTACTACATAATATAACAGAACATGCACGATTTAATTTTAAAACTAATTACTCAGATGAAATATCGGTTAATTATCAAAATAAATTATATAACTTATGAATTGATCCATACCATGATTGGAATCTCTATTTGACCAGAAAGAATAATTTCTTTGATAAAGCGCAATACAAAATATCCGCAGTCAATCCCATTGCGCTGACGAAGACACTGTAAATGGAAAAAACAAACGAACATTTATCAGGATATATAGTTTAAATAGTTTTATCAAGTAGAACCACTATAACAGTCAAACATGGGAAAATTTACCTCCACTATGATCCAACTAATGTTGTTAGCCTTGCTTTTTCGCACTGTTGCATCTCTTTGTGCTTTGAATATTTGTATAACTCTAACATAATATAAACGCATATTTAGAACAATGTCATATAATATATAAAGATATATAATTATTCAGAACAGTATATCTCATCACTTACGTATCAACCATGTTCTTAAGATCAGAATATTTTGTTGTATCGCCATCCAATGAATCTATATAAACACTATTTCTTTCATCAGATTAATCGCGACCAACAACCAGTGTCCACTATAAAATAAGACAACAGTTTTTACGGAAATGCTATATAGAATGGCAAAAATTGAATAATTATAATAAATGAACTTAGAATAAAATCTAACCCATGGCCAGTATTATATGGCAACAAGAACAACTTCTCTGTAGTCGCGGCCATAAATCTTGGACTGTGTAATCTTTGACTACATCTGGTGTCTGATCTATTGTCCGTGAGTTGATACAACTAGTAGATAAGAATGCGAATATTAAAGTCAAATCATTCGGGACCAACAACTTGTCATACAAGAACCTAAAAAAAACATAATCAACATTAGAATATTCAGTTAAATGAGAAAATTTTAAAATGTTCAATTATTTAATTAAAATGGATCGGAGTACCTGATGTAGGAATGCATAACATCGACGCCCAATTCAGAATGTTAGAAAACCTGGTCAAAATCCTCCTGAGCAATTGTTTCGGCATATTCAAACTCGAAAATACCTTCATCCATAGGTATTTGACGGATTCCACCCTCGGTCACATCTGTTGTTCCTACATATGTTTGAAGGCACATCCTAAATCGAGGAACATATGCTTTTTTTGGCTCGACCTTTTTTTTGTTGGGCACCTTGGAAGATTCAGGCATCTTACCCTTGCTGACTTGTTGCAACTGCTGATCATGAACCTAAAAGTCATATATAAGTTCAGTAATTAATGTATAATAAGATAATCATGTAACTGCTGTAGTACTTGTTTCTTTGATGCAGCTCAATCGGTATCCTGCACAATAATTCTATCATCTTTTGATTTGGATTTTGTAGGAGTCTAAGATCATCACGGAAATAAGAAAATGTAAATGTAAGAATAACTTTCATGTATGGGTCATAAAACATTTGAATATTACAAGGTTCATAATGGTGTTCAACCTACCTCGTCATCTATGAAAATGAGATTTATCAGCCATACAACATACGCTCCTATTGCGTCTCCCACCACTGTTGTGTTTGAAACATCATCTGGTATAGGCAACAACGCATCCCCCTCTAACGCAATATCAACTGATACTTTCAAAAATCCAGCAGGGAGCGGTTTATGGTGAAGTAAGTCTCCCACATTGTTATGCACCTTTCCCTTGCCAACCATGCGATAAGTCGGTGACGATAAATATAGCTGACAAGGTGAAATGCCTTAAATAAATAATGATGCCGATTAATGTGTCAATTAAGAAAATTGTGCTAATTAAATTAATTTTAATATAATATATACAATAACCTCTGGAAGCTTCTGCGGACAACCGATACTATCTTTGTCACTAGTAGCTTTATTCTCTAGAGCGCGCCTTTCCGACATGTATCTCTCTTTGTCCTTCTGTAATTCACGAATCTGAGCTTTCAATTCCTCCAAAGTATCCATCACTTATTTATTGCTAGGATTTTTTTTCTTTGGCTGCTTATACAGTTTTGATGGAGTGACACCAAATCCCTTACCCCTCACACGCCCAGAATACTCAGGAATATTTAACACTCGACTCAGTAAGCTCCTGCAATCGTCATCCTCAGCTGGAGTTATAGTCTGGGATTGAGTCTCCTGAAATATAGATAAAAGCATATATAAATATATTATACACTTTTGATCAGTTGCTGACAAAGCTAATGTTGTACTTACACATTGTTCAAATACTTGTTGAACTTCTTCTTGAACGACTCCATCTCTTCTCACACGGGCAGCCTTCCATACAACATGGTCTGGAAGAGATGTCGCATCACTTTTCTCCTCTTCTAACTACGCATTAAGATGGATAATAAAGGATTATATCCTATTATATATACTTACTATTTTTTGTAAATATATCATATTAAAGCATTTATATGTACTTACTATTTTTTGTTCTAGGCATGCATATCCCAAACGCCCTTTTTTGTATGGATACGCGGCTTTTGACGCCTGTTGCCGATTGGTGCCACTCACAACCTGAAAAAACAAGTTTAAGTCATATCCGAACTCTTGTGGAAGAAGTATATA